TAAAATTTTTTTAAGTCAAAGGTTTCATCAAAATGTTTATTGAAAAAAAATAATATGTGGGGGGGGGGGGGGGTTGTACCAGAGTGTGTTTTCATACTCTTAGGATAATTTTAAATTTAAATATGTACATAAAACTGAGGTTCAAAAACTAGTTCATGCAATGGAAAATAAATACATTGTCATTATTATGATATATAATAATATATATGACATTCAGTCAATAAGTAATAAGTTTTATGATATTAAAAGTACTTTTACCATGGAAACCCGTAAGTCAACAATGAGCAATTTTCCATAACAATTATGACTCTTGATGATCCTAATTTTCATTTTGCCTGCTAATATTCTTTGACAGATTGTACTCATAAAATGCACTCAAAAAAGTATGAATAAAATGATATAACCTTCAATTCGATTTAAACGCCCATGTAATTATCAGTATATATATTTCGAGTCTGAGTTATATCTTGATTATGTAAATTAGATGAATATTGCTCTGGTGTGACCCCAAGGACAGTAGTTTTCATTTTAGATTACATATGCCACAGCTGCACAATGTATAATATTGTTTACATTAATATTACTATATTATTTAAAAAATTACTTAATGGTAAAATTTGTACAGCATTAAGATATTGAGTTCTACTTCCTATATCTCAGCTGGTAACTCTCTGAATTATTGCCTGCTAAATTTTCAACTTTGAATTAACTATTCATGTTTGCTGTTGTCCATAAAGGGTCAAATTTCTGAAAGGATTAAAGTCAGTTGTCAATCAGGATGCACAATGTACATGACAGTTTTATAAATAAAAAAAAAATAACACACTGAAAAACACAATTGAACTGAAGTACATTTTTGCCACCACTGTGATACTTACTCATAATCACACAATATACATGTATTATTCACCATTAGTAACAGAATAGATTAATTACATATTTTAAAATTACGCCAGATTTAGTATATTACCAATAGATTTCACCATACTTTCCTGCTGAAATAATATTTTTTGAATGCCCCATATGTCATAGAGCTCCATGACAAAGCGGTGACGTCAGTCGGTGGTTGACAATATCATATTTACTATATTAAGCTGCACATAAACGATTATTTATTAAATTATTACGACAAGCAGATGTATAAGAATTAGGTAAAGTATGCATTCAGGCAGTACAGGATTGCACTGACCTCCTCCTATGTGTCAGCCAATAAGATCAGTGCACTGCCTACATGAGTGCATACTTTGCGGTATCCTCGTAATTACCTCATTATAATTATTACATTGACGTTAGTTAGAGCATGTTAATTTTTATAATAAATCATTAAATTTATGACATTTTAATTATTTGATGTCAAGGATTCTGATAGAGCTGACGAAACAGCAATGCTAATTATTCATGGTACAATAATTATGTACAGAACAGACATGTCAATTATCATACAAATGACACAACACTTGATTGAAATACTCAACACAGAAATATATTTACCAAGAGCATATATTATATCTAATACTACCAATAATATTGTACCAAAATATTTATTTTATTATTCAAGGCTATTAAAAAATATTTAAAAGATTTGTTTCTTGTCCTGATAAGTTAAAAAATATTTTCTGTGACACGCCTTTTTTTTTTAAATCAGAAAAAAAAAATTGCATTTCAGACTGAAACAAATAATTTTTTTGTTATGCTCAGCAAATTATGTGGAAGAGATAACATATGAACATATTCAATTTATTAAATATCAATTTTACCAAGCAGTTCTATTCATACAGCATTTATGTCAATGTTGAAAGTTGTGTCTCATAATATTGTATTTTACTACAACTTTACAATAATCATTATACAATAACATACAGCTAGGAGGAATGATAACAACTAAACATTATTTAAAAAGAATTACTGTATTAAGCACAATAATCAAAATACATGTATTTATGTAGCGTTCATGTGTAAAAACATTTGTACAATTTGAATGAATAATTTTATATATATCATATCATTATATATAATTCTTTTCTAGTATAGCATACTGGTAGAACTAATATATAAAGATTTATTTCGATCATTTTGGTCTCTCAATCGTCAACCTGTTCAATGGGCGGTCACGGTGGTCATCGTG